TGCAGAATTATATAGAATGGTCAATGGTCATTCCGCATAGCACTGCCATATTTTAAACTGTCTTCTATATTTTCAACCAACCAATTCCTAATTCTATTAGTAAATATAATCAATCCGTCATACGTAACCAACGACCTGAACTTATTAGGAGTTATCGCTTGGTCTATTCGTTTGCTGAGCGAGCTGAGTTGGTGTATTCTCCCTCATCGCATATTACAGCGAATGCATTTTATGTGTGGTATAATTATTGTTCATAAAATCGATGCGTCAATTATTATTGGATAGTTTCAAGTTTTTGGTATATAGTTTCAGTTTTTTTTTTTAACAAAAGCACACACACACACACACACACTGTGCAAAAGAATGTTGAGCATATTTTATCGCATGAAAATCGATGATTAATTCAAAAAGCATACAAATCATCAACACATGGAGTGTCGCCCTGACTGGAATCGGTGAACGGTCAACAGTGGTGTAGCTTATGTGTGTGTATAGGGCTAGCAATAGACTCAACTAGACTGGACTTGCATTTCACAAGCAAAATACGTTGTGTTCTATTCTATTTGATTTGTCGCTGGCAAAAGCACATTATGGCTTGTGAATAATGCAATAATGATAATGACCATTAGGCATTTAAGAACCGATTCCACCACAATAAGCCAAACCGAACACGTCGAAGTTGACAGCCGAAACGATTGAAAGAAGCGAGCAAAGGAGAACGAAACGAAAAAAAATGGTAACAGTATTGGAAAATACGACACAACAAAATTGGCTTTTGTTGTCATCTGGAATGGTTATGCTCCTCCGCATAGATTAGTGACACAGTCGAATGCGCGTTCGCGTGCACAAAGCCACACTATTATTTTTCGTCAATTTCCAAATGGAAAAGGAGAAAAAAGCAACAACAACAACAACTGCAATGGCACAGAGAGAAACATGACAAATGTGAAACCGAAGTAGATAGACGAATTGATTTAGACATGCTTATGCTCTTGTATATGTATACTATACTTCCTTGGATTCGACATCAAGCTTTATGTGCAAATATCGTCTACCATTGTCCGTGCACCGTTATACTGCCGATCACACACTGAGACGCATACTATATGTTCAGCCCGCATATAAGCAACTGCCCAACTGACTGATTGTTCCGATTGCTCTGTGGACGCGATTGTCAATGTGGTGTGTCGCATTCACTACACATTGTATGCATGTTCTTTCCATTGGAATCACATGTACAGTCCGAAATGTCGTGCGCATGAAAACGAAGACGAAAAAAAAGCACACAACTGTCATCAGTCATCATATATTTACAATGCTTACCAGAAAAGCGTTGAGTAATCAATAAATGGCCATAATGGCTGACTTCATATCGCTGTGTGCTTTATGCAATCCAACTTTTTTCCCTCACTGCTTGGCATGGTGCACTCCCTCTCAGTCACTGTATATGACAAAAAATGCGTAAACATTTGTCGATTTATAGTAATGTTGTCATTCCGGACATTTATTGACGCTCGCTCGACTCTCGCCTCACGCTGCACTTGTTGGTCTGCGCTCAGAATTCCAAACACTTCACCACCACCACCCTCATCAAATATGCATTGTTCACAAAGTTTTGAATTTAAACGTGATTATATTGGTGAGACGATTCATTTTCGAAATGACGTCAAATTTCTTTCGTTTTTAGCTTCGAAGGCTGCGCTTTCCTTTTGCCAATGAACAGGTTGTGAATGTTTCCTTTAGCAATGGATAAAAAACAATTTTCTCCTGATTTGACATTCGTAATTGCATAGTTGAATTTATGAAATTAGCTAAAGTTGGATTGCATTGTTCGATACGAGATCGGATCCAAAATAGTTGAAGTTATTCTAGCCCATGTAGAGGTGAAAATATGCCAACAACGAAAATGAAGCGAAACAGAATCGACGACACCGGAGATAGAATACTTCAATCAATATTCAATTTAGGTTCTCATTCTAAACAATTCAAATCGGCCAAATGTACCGTTAGTCATTTTGTACGAACGCTTCATTCTGTTCTCGGTCTGCACATAAGCTAGTGAGCATCAATGTGAGCGTGTGTGCTGTGTGCTTTTCATTCGTATTTTATGTTATGTTCCGATGATGCTTCACTCATTAGAATTTATTCAAACAATGCAAGCACGTACATAACGAACTAGTTATTTGCCCATAAATCGGAACAAATGTGAAAGAAACATAAATTTCCGACGATTTCAGTGGTAAAACGTTCGCTTCGTGAGCACACTAGCACCGCACAAGCATACACACACACACACACACAATGTTAATTCCAACGAAGCCAGCCAGCCAGCAAATGAACGGCCAACGAATATACAAGCCATAGCACAGCTAGCTGACGAAAATTCACGCAAAAAACCAAAACCAAAACAACAATCAACGCTGAAACAGGAAAAAGCTAAACATCGAACCAAACAACACTGAAAAATGGTTAGTGGTAAGGAGTAATGATAGAATAAATTATATCATGTACACATAGAATGCGAAGGCCAATGATTCGCAAGCAACACAACATTTCGAGTTTTGGCCGAGCCAGCGAGCTAACGAGAGATAGAGAGAAAGAGAGTGAGGTAAAGGCGTGCAATAAATAGAAAACAATAGTGGAATTTAGCGCACTCCCACAATTTTATGTTTTGAGAAAATTGAAATCACATTCTTTTTTTTTCACCACTGAAATGGAATTCCAAGCGAAATGGTGGATTTTAATGCGCGAAAAAACGCCAGAACTAATTCTTATGAATCGAAGCCGTGAGCATTTGAGCATTGATACGAATGAGAGCAAATTTTTTCCGGCAGCTCGATAGATAGACAATTAAGCGTTGAACGTGGCGACCATTTCTCCTTGAGACCACCATCCACCAGCTTTAATCGAATTTCCTCAAACAAAATTGCCTTTAACAATTTCAAATGTTCTGAATTTCTAGTGTAGAATTTTCTGATTCGGACCGAACGGAAAAATCCGTTTTCACATCAAAACCCATTCTTCGATGAAACAATGTACTACGAATGTATTTTCTGGATGGTCGACGAAACAATCGAATATTCACGACGAAATGACACCCAATGCCAACGAAACACTAATGGCTGATCAAGTGAATTTTCGATGCTTTTTAACGTCGATTAATTGCACCGAGAACAATCAAAGCTGAATGTAAATCATAAATTTTGACGCTATAAACACATGGAAATGTGGAAAACACCTCTGTGGAGAATGGTTCGTCAATATTTTATGATGACAGGGGAGTAAGCAAGAAATAAAGCAATGGGAAATGTTGAAGCCAAACTAATCGAAATTTCATAAATTTACGGCTGAAAGTGCAATAGAGATAGGTAGTTCAATCAAATGTCACAGAGGCCATCGAAATTGAATTTTTCAATAATGGAAAACTAATTATCAAAGCTGAAAATAGAGCTCACGGTGAAAATGTTCATAGTTAACTCCTTTTTAAATGGTTCAAGTGATTAAAACTAATTTGAAGTGGTGTGATTTTCTTTAGGGATTTTTTTTAATCGGCATTGAGAAAATGACGAATGTGAAAATGTTCTATTTGAATTCATTTGCCGAGGTAATAAGTGAATAAAGTAAGAATAAGCCGAGTATTTTACTCCAAATTCAACAATTAATTACATTTGACTTTCGACGAAAAAATTTAATTGGCCATCGTTAGTAATAATTGCGATAGCTTTCACAGTATAAGCTTACCTTTAGCCGTCTACGAAAGTATATGTTTGAACCAAAGAAGATGCTCTATTTTGATGTGTGACTGAGAAAAATCGAAGCACTTGTTTGGTTTAGTTTTTCGAGGGGCTGTATTGGACATATTCAAGAGAGAAAAAAAAGACAAACCAAAACTAGCCAAGAATGATTCAGAGCAAAATCGTGTCCACCAGCAGCCAAAGCGTGCAACCGTGTGCGGTGAATAGAAAAGATAGAGACACACAGAAGGGAACAAAAAATGAAACCAAACTCACATCATACACACACAAAGATTTATCTATGCATTGTACGAGAAGTGGATAGGTTTTCAAAAGTTGATTTTGCACAACTGAAACAAAACAAATGGCTCAACAGAAAGAGAGTAAGAGAGAGATGTAGCATCGTCAAGCGAATAAAAAATAAATAAATAGCGAGAATTGTACACAAATCAGTCGATTTGATTGAAGCCGAGTTTGTGCATGTGGTTGCGTTTTTGGTGTGAATTAAAAAAAAAAGCAAGCTGAATTTCATCTAAAAATAGAGAGAAAAAACACACGCACACACATATGGACAATCCCACATCGGGCCACATGCATATTTCACACAGCCAAAGAAGAAGAAAAAAAAGCAATAGGAATGAACGATCCGAGAGAGTATCAAATAACCAGTGAGCAACGACAACAAGCGCGTCGAACAAACGTATTGACACCAGAGGCGCGCGTGTATGTATGTATGTGTGTGTGTGTGTATGTACGGGACTCTCTCGCGAATGAGAAATAACATAAAGAACAACAAAACGAAAGAAACAACAACGACGCGTTGTGTGTACATACCGGAGCCCAGCTCCCGTGGATGGACAGAGACGGAGAAAAACAACTCGATGAAGAAGTCGGCAAGAGAGAGAGAAATGAACACGAACGAAGAAGAGAAAGAAAAACACACACAGCACACACCAATTTAAGGGGTATGCTTGCTCACTGTGCTTGATTTTGTTCGAACCTTCTTGCTTTTGGTTCTTTCCTCAGTCGTTTGATGTTACTGTAACTGTGTACATCGATATCGAATAACTGCGGCTTCAATCGAATTACTACTTGATCAAGTTTAAAACAGCCGCTGTTCAGCCGTTTTCGTGCGTATTTTTTCACAACATCAGAATTTGTTTGAATCTGAATTTGTCGCGTTTTTTCGTCGATTTTTCTAACAGTTTGCGCGCAAATTTCAAACAATTTGTGGCAAAAAAAAAACATTTTTGGTGTGAACCAATTTTGGACGAGTGACAATTGTGTTTGCAACATTTCTGAGACTTAGAGAGAACTTATCGAGCAAAGAAACATGTTGTGCAAGTGAAAAAAGTCAGATTGGTTACGGCAAAGATTTAGAAAAAAAAAATATGAAAGTGCAACAAAAAAAAAATCGATAAAGAAATGCTGCAAGTCTGAATACATCGACTGCCACCAAAGTAAGCCCATCTTGAATCATTCCCATTCGATTCCAAAGTGAAATGATCCTAATTAGATCAATCCAAAGAACAATTTCTTTTTTCAAATAATTTTCCTCTGTCAATGTGATTTTATGGACGAGAGATTCTTGTGTGATATCCCAAAAAGAAGTGATTGTGTTCCTAAAGTGTTGATGCGAAAGCTAAAAATTTGCGAGAAGCGAAAAAAAGATCATGAGAAAACTGCTTTGATGCTAAAGTTATGTGAATTCAACCAAAAAGAAGCAAAAAAAAAACAAATAAAGATAAAAATTCTAATAAGAGATTGATCACAAATTGTATTTATATAAGTGAAGAGCGGAATTATAAAACTCAAAAGCAGTTTATGTTTTTTTTTTCACATTTGAAATACAAAACCAAGAACAAAAACATATAAATGTTAAAATTCTGAAGTACAAAATAGCTGATAAAAAGACTTTTATAATAATCCATAAATAAAGACTAGTTGATTTGATTTGTTAAATCCGCATTAAGAAAAATATATAAATTAGTCGCAACCGTCGCCGCCGCCAAATAGAAAGACAAGATACATAATAAAATCCACAAAGAACAACAAACAAAAACGAAATCAAATTGACTGACAAAGACAAAAGAGAACCCGTCGTAAAGGCTAAATCCAAATTCACACAACAACCAAAAAAAAAGCAGAAAATTCAATACAAAAAAAACAAAAACATTTTGATCCAATAAACACAAGCACAAACAGTTGCTCAACGCAAGTGATCATATAATGTTGATTGGATCAAATTTGAACAGTGATTTTGGACCATTGCCAAGTGCCCCTTGGAATATGGAACCACCGAGACTACCACTCAGCACTGGCGGCGGCTCAATGCCACAATCGACCAACATACAATTGTCACCAACCGGTAAGCGTTCAACAACCACTTTCAACCTACTTTTTTTTTAACTGTATGCGCAACATGCAAGCAAATGCTAAACAGAACATACAAAAAAGAAAACAATTCCATTGGATCTGCGAATGAAGGGAGCATGTTAAGATCAAGTTTTACATTTTGCCAGCGGCAAACAGACCGATTTTTCCGTGCATTTTTGTCAAAGCAGTTGAAAATGCCGTGAGAGAAAAACAACAGTTCAGTTGAAGTCATTCACTTTTTTTTTTCTCATTTGAGAATATATAATCACATCCTGTAACCAATCATATTCCTGTAACCGAATTAAAAATGCATTTAAATGCATATCGGGACTAAATTGCAATTAGAAAAAATCCGAGTAATTGCAGTAAACGTTTGTTTACTCGTTAGATCCTTACCATTACTAACTCCCGTGCGTAATTTCTCCAAGAACCTTTTGCGATTTGATTATCGGCACACAGTTGATAGGTTTTGGACGTTTACTGATTTTCTGAAATGCATGTTCATTACTAGTGCCCAATGAATATTTCATAACATTGCTGTTATTACAATGAAATTGCTTGACCCATGACATCATTTTTTCGTTCAGCATTTTCTCGCTCTAATTTCAATCAAAGTATATGTATGCAAAACTTCGGCCGCGTGCCCTTAATTTGCTCATCAAATATTCCCAATCAGTGTGTGTATATTATGGGCACTATAAATTACTAGTTGTGTGGTACTTATAAGTGCATTCTATACGTATGAATATATCGTTGGGGCCGATATTTCGTATCAATATAATGCATAATTATCTGCAGTGAAGTCACTTCCGGCTTCTGTTCGTTCATTCTACCTATAGCCGTCGCTGCCACCACCACCAACACCACCACCACCGAACAAAAAGCGATAATTTCGATTTATCGCTTTATTCATTTTTTGACATTTTGGATGAATTTCATTAAAGAGCCGCGTCTCGTCGATAGCTTTTCACAATGTGAATCTCTGTAACATATCGGCTAAATTGATTTGTGTCATCTATTAGATTTATTTTGTTGTTGTTGTTGCAATCGTTTATAAAATCAAGTGTATCTCCAGCCCGTGTATTTCGAAGCCTTTTTGACAAAGCGCGCGTATTTGTTGTCAGCATACCGTTGAGTGTCTAAATAAGCACAGCGTGAAAGCAAAAAGGTTTGATTTTGTTCAATTGACTTTTTTTCTGCACATTTTCTTTCCATCCCCAGTTCTTGTTGCTTTCAATCGCATACACACATTCACACACTTCGGGCGACTACATAATTTATTATTAGAAATAAAAAGGTGTATTTTCATTTTGGTCTCAATCACTTTGGTTGTATAATGACACCACATTTTCAGTATTTTCACATCAATGCATAATTGATGTGTATGTGTGTTTTGGCTATGGTTAACCGTGCCGCCGCCGTCACCACCACCGTCGTCGTCGTCAACGTCGTTTCATTTCACAGTCAAGCTACATACACACACACACACACACACCGAAACCGATTAAAATCAACCGATTTTCTTAGCCTCGAACAATTGACTGACTGACAGAAATCAATTAAAAGCCATAAGCCAAAGCTCGAATTTAATAGGCTCAATCATTATTATGCCATTAAAAATATCTATCTTTAGTAAAATGCAACGTAAATTTTCGACAACATCTTTCATTTAAATGGTCTAGATGAAGCAAGTTTGCTCGGAAAAATTTCCAATTCTTTGCAATTTTATCCAACATATCCGTTTCTTCGAATGAAAAATGTGAGTTGATCTATTCTGCACTGGATTTGGTATTCATTGCGACAGTATAGAACCAAATGTAATTTTTAATGAGCATAAAACTTGATCATTTTGCAATAGTTTTGTGACATTTTCCCGGAAAGCGTGCCAAAACCTACATAAAGCGTAGCTGCATCAATATTTTATTATAATCCACGATGGAAAACGTTTATTCTCGTCGATACTTTTGAAAAATTAATAGATAAACGGCAATGGGCGGCTTTGGAATGAAATCGAATTTGAATGGCAAATAATCGGTTTTTGAGGGATAGAAATTTGAGTTGATTCTACCGTCGGCACATACACCCAACTTCACCATTTGAACTAGGTGAGAATTTCAATTCGCAAATTTGGAAGAATTCACAAGAAATTTGTAGGATTTTGTTCATTCGAACCGAAATCGCGCCGTTTTTTTTTTTTTTCTAAATGAATCATTGCGACAAACAAATTCCCTCAGAATATTTTAGTTTCAAAATGCAACATGAAATTTTTTTTTATATAGAGTTTACAACAACAACTCCATATGAAAAAAAACTTCATGATACACTTTAAAACTAAAATATTCTGAGGGAATTTGTTTGTCGCAATGGTTCAAATATTCCCCTAGCATTCGAAAGCTAAGCCAAAGCGCCTTCAAACTACTGATTTATGAATGTTTCGCAAATGCATTGTTCATTGTACACTTGCATTTAGTCGGAATCAATAATTTCCACTGAAATTTTGATATATACAACGTATAAAATATAGCCTTTACTATATTTTAACTGTAAATAAACGACGATGTGTAATGAAAAAGGCGGAGAAAAGCGGTGCAAGTGTTTTCACTGTGAAAATTTTATGATGCGTTCCATATCCACGGAGGTGGCATAGAATCGAAGCTAGAAGCGTACAAAAGAGGTGTTATTCGGACACACAAAGATTTTGTCAATTGACACTAGAAATGTCGTTGGTTTTGAGTCTTTCGGTTAGCAATTACCCAGTTAAAAATGTATAACTTGTTCGTGTTGGACGCGTATTTTATTGTATCGCAAGGAAGTGAGAGGCAGACTGAGGCAGAGAGAGAGAGAGCATTGAGCATAAACAATAATCTAAAAAAAAAAATAGTTTTTCTAATTGACGAAACATACACATGGCCAACAGCCTGTCTATCCTGACTGTCTATCAATTGGTTGAAGATCACGCACATGAACGATTTTAGCCATACCAAAAGAGAGAAATAAAAACAAAATTGAACTAAAAAAGAATTCGATTCAAGTTTTCGTGGTCAAAGGACTTTTATTCGAGTTTGATATGATGGAAATAGACCAAGAATTATAATATATGCGCGATTGTGTCGTCGATTCATTTAATAAATGCTCATGTTCATTGAAAATCGATCCGCATCAATACAAAACGCAATTAATTCTCAAGTCCAATTGATTTACAATTCCATTCTGTCCTGTTTGAGTTTGAAGTGGGCTGCACATTTGACGGTGTTGCTTCTGAATACAGCGAGGTATCGAACGTCAACTTGAAATTGTAGCCGAGAATGTTGCTTTTTTTTCCCCTGAATACGCATTAAATGTGTATCGAAATGATAATGGGAAACCATTTTAAACTTTTAAATCGCGACTAATTTGTTTCACGTTTTATTTTATTTCATTTTTTGTTGTTACTTTATTTTATTATTCTTTGAAATCGTTTCGTTTTTTGTGTGTGTGTGTGTGATTCGTGTTTTGTTTCGATTAAGCCGCGAGACTAAAGCATATTCACTGGCTGTTGTGAGAGTTCGTTCGTCTTTTATTTCATTTCATTTCTTTCTAAATGTTCACTTTTGATTCGATCAATCAATCGGCGTGTCCTCTACGCTTGTTGTGTGTACAATTTCCGAGCTAAACATTGTTTAATCACCTTTTTTTCTTCATCCACGCACCGCCGTGTGCTCGTACTCACATACACATAGAAACATACGAGCACGTTAGCAAACCGTAAAAGCTACACATAATTCACATAAGAAAGGAGGGAGAATAAAATCAATTTTGACTCTTTTATTCAGCTTATTTTTTTTTTTAGATTGCATTGTATAATGGACACATTTAGAAGAAAATACAAGAGATCGAATAAAAAGGTGTATAAGCAGCGCTCATGTGAACAGTGAACACACTCTTTCATCAGTCAATTAATCAATGGGCGCTGAAAATTATTTTTGTTGCTGTTGTTGTCTGTGTTTTTTTTTCTTTTTTCTTTTTTCTTCGTCTTTATTTCAATTGCATGAAAGCGCTGATTTTTCCACTGAATTCCATCCACAGCCACACACAAATCTCGAATGCCAGAAGATTAGCGATGAAAATTGAAAATCGTTTAACCAATAAGTAGTTTTTCTTGCGTCTGAATTATTTCGACTCGCCCGTCAGTCAATTCGATAATTGTTTTCAGCTGGTCAATTTTCTTCGGCTTTACAAATTTACTCGTTTTGTCATACACACATACACACACACACTTGCTATCCGGGCATTATTTTTGGCCGCGTTGTATTGTTCACGTTTTGTCCATGTATTCGAATCACACTCATTCTCTGTGCCTACGTTGAATAATATCCCAAATGTACAGAGACTCACTGGCTACGAGTGACACACAACAATGAAACTAATTATTATTGAACGACGACAACATCGCTATTGAAGTGCAACCATTGTGCGAGGGGAAAATGAGCCAAATATCCAAACACATCGGCAAAGATCGAAAATGAGATGGGCAAAGACGACAAAAAAGGCCCAATTTAAAGTACTGCTGCTTAATGTAATTTGTCGATTCGCAACGGGCCAACCAAGACAATCGAACCGAGCACGATACTCGTGAACACGCCATTCAATTGTCCGTCCATTGGCTACAAAACAGCAATAATATCATAAAAAAATGAGTGTATTGTGTAAGCATTTGACAATATCAGTCTTGGCTTCGAACAATTGACAAATGAGTCAGTGTCGAGCAACAAAGTTTGCATTGCATGTGCCAGAGACCATCTTCATACACATGTACAAACTCAAGAACATGAATACATTAATTATCTTGAAAAGTGACAAGTTTCATCGCATTTTGGTCGCAATCATAACTGCCAGATGAGAGAGAAGAATAGAGCGAAGGAGAGAGAGAGAGAGAGAGAGAGAGGGAACATGACACGCATCTGTCGTCAATGGGAACACATATCAAGCATCCGACTACATAATTAAGGTACT